CCCCCCCCCCCTCAATTTAGAGCTACGAAGTACAAAACAAAAGCTTTAATACTATCTCTTCAAATGTGTGGCTTCTGTACAGCCTGCTTTTAAAAATGAACAGGCATACCTCTTGTATGTTTATTTTCTTCCTTTGCTTCTGTTCACTGCCAGCTACAGCACTGCTGTCAGGGTTAAGCAGTCGGGTCACCTCCTCCAGCTCCTTTTTTGCTTCAATGACATTTGGATCTATTAGAAGTACTCTGTTGAAATCATCGACGCTGGCTTTGTAATTCTGTAAGTAGAAGGGAAAATAATTTTTTCATAAGCAATCCACTAGAAGAGTAAATTTGAACTACTATACTGTCCTATACAATTAAGACAAATAAAAATGCTAGGAACTTGGCATTAAGTAGACAAAGATAATCTAAATACAGACGGTGTAATTTCATTAGAGGGGAAAAAGGAAACTGAAGATGAGTCTGAGTTAGCAGTTTGTGACTAAATACTTCCGTATTAAATATGTAATATGAAATAATTTATTCTGAGACACATATTCTTTGTATCAGAGACTAGATATTGAAGACTGCTGCTTTTAAGCACAACTCTTACAGTGTAACACTTCATCAAGATTAATACGATGTGAGTCCATCGACAGTTCCCGTATTTGCTTTGCCAATAAAAGAAGAGTTAAAAATATGCCTAATCTTCCTGGGCTTCAATCCAATGGACCCTCTCTTACAGTTTGAGAAGGGAAATTTTTGGTAATACTTGAGAAGATTGGGATTATGTTATGAACTCTGGGATAAACAGGATTAGAAGGACAAACACAGCGACAGAGTGGCATTAGGACGCAGTTTCTCAATAATCAGTCTTGTAATTTGTTTGATGTTTTCATTTCAAATTTTGACGTTAGGAATTACGATTTTTTAGACTTAAATTTTCTGAAGAGACAAAGTTAACAGCATCAATTCTCAGGAAGGTTGGAAAATCACATAGAAAAAAAAAATCAGGACACCTTGAGGGCTGGAATATCAAAAATAAGGATGAAATGTATCAGCAAACTGTGAAAGACCAAACAGACAGTAAAAGATCAACATAATTTCTTTGTGTGAAGGACCTAGTATTTCTTCTGTTCCCAAGCACTATCATGACGTTACTATAAGTCATCCATATTATCATGAAAAAAACCCTGATGTACCAGCTGAGGTATTTCCTCAGCCATCTCAACTGTAACACAGGCACTAGTGTACAGGTCACTCATATTCTCTCTCCACCGCGGAGTATTTTATTCCAGCACTGATGACCAGTATTCAAGGTGCAGAGACACTGCTGCAAAACTGTAAGTGAACCGAAGTCTGCTATATCATGAAAGAAGAGTAAGAGAACTAGAATTATTTAGCCTTAGCAAATGAATACAGAAAGGGGGCAGATTGCTTTCATCAGAAAACAGCTACTAATTAAGCTGAACCATCTGAGTTACAGATGTGAAGATCCACAACTACAGAGAAATGAGATTCTGGAACAGACTTCTGAAAATTATCACAAGGGTCAGTGAACAACCATCCCTCCTGGATTTAAAACTGTAGCCTGCCAGACCTCTCAAGAGAAATCACACAAGATCACTGTACCCCAAGTAAGAGACCAGGCTATCAGCTGTAGAAGATGCAGTCTGGGGTCCTGTGTCCTATGCTACAGGCCTAATTCATCACACAAGCATCATTTTTTCCTGATCTTCCCTTAACCTACATCTCAGTAAATCTATTAAAAACCCCACAATTTACTACATTAAATTCCACTGCAGCTTTTGTGGTTAAATATCTGGATATTTATACACAAGTAACACTTCCCAGCTTAGTTAGGTCTTTGCCAAACTACATGCTTCCAGCTCTTAAAATTTCTCATTACAGAGTCATTTGTCAACCTCAAATCACTTTTGTTGCTTTCTCTGGTTTTACAGATTACTCGCATCCCTGGAATTAGTGATAATGAAGGCATTAAATCCAACCACAACAAAACATTTTGGGAGTCCCCAGCTCAGACTATTCTAAAGGAATCCATGAACGGTGTGTTTCAGGTTATGTCTTCATTAATCCAAAAATAGCATTTTTTCTAGGATACTGAAAAAAGCAGATTTCTCCAATTCTTTACATTCTTCACTAGTGTGTAATTCCCTTTGACTGGCAGAATCACTATATACCTTTGCTCATATTCATAGTAATTTTTTACCAACTTCAACAACATAAGGTTACAGATGATTAATACCAGGTAGCGTGGTACAGTTACATAAAAGATTTTACACAACATTAAGACTTTTCACCTTCTTTGAAAATTAATCAAAGCCAACTTTCAAAATTTCATAGCTATTGTAACAGAGAAACGAATTTATCACAAACAAAAGACCCCATGGTTCCTACGACTTGCATTTGGAATTTTAACATGGGATGAGAACAGCCTAGTATACTGCTAAGCACAAACAGGCTGTCCTCAGGTGATCTAAAGTTAACAAAAAATTACCTGATTGACTGTGAAGACATCAAACATATTGGAGGTCTGAGGTAAGCCCTCATTTGCAGACCACCTCCAGTTACAAAGAGCCACATGGGAGAAAGCACTTAAGATGCTGGAATAAAGACACTTGTAAAATCCAACACAAAGCAGATGATGATAGCTGCCGTCATGACCAAACAGAAGTGAGAGGCTGGTAATTCAATACCAGGTGAAGAGCTAACAGGTAGCGGAAGGATTGATGCGCAAGAATTATGAAGAAATGCAGAGGCTAATTAACGTCGCCGAAGAAGGGGAACCAACAGAGGGACGGAGAAAAGCAATGACATGGTTCAAGTGATGGAACACAAGATTTGCAGTCACATTCACGATGGATATGAGCAATATAAGTCTGCATTTATGATGATCACGTAAACGGATACTCAAAAACCTGTGTGTAAGATAAGCACAGTACAGACAACACCACCACTGTGTAGATGGAAAGGAAAAGGTTGAGTACTGACACTGTCCACAGAGTGAGAAAGCAGGTAAACTGACAAAGGGTCGTAATGTGTTTGGGGAAGGAGGAGAGAGAAACCCTGGTTTACTATGACAAGCACTCAAATATAAGCAGATGCTTTGTTTGGACAGATGAAGACGGAGAGGATCCATTTGTCATCAGCAAAGATACAACAGACACCTTGACAGAAAAAACAGACTGGGATACCTAGAAGAATATTAGAACGGAGTTGAAACTTGCTCAACCAATCGCCAGTCAAACCTCATTTATTCCAATGTTCTTCCATTTTCTCAAATTATTACAAGTTGACATGCAGATTTCGAAGTTGCAAAGATATTTATATAATACTTTATGTATGCCTAATAGATCTACAAAGTTATAAATCATCAGCACTGCATACTTTGCTTGTATTCACCCATCAACTGAAACTACCTGATTGCCTTTGAAGAGGATAAGTTTAGAAGTGCTTACGAATACCTGCCATCTTCTTTTTCCTCACCTGTAATCCTTTGTACGCTAGTGCTCTTCTATAAAAAGCTTTAATATTAGAATCTTCTATCTGAAGAACATGATCACAATCCTGCTTAGCCTCTTCATATTTATACAGTTTCAAGTAACAGAGAGCTCTGACACAGAAAAACAGAATACACTGCAATATAAGTAACTTCTACAGTGCTGTAGTGCCAACAGTATCTGACTCATAAATGCTAATTACAACACTTCACACAATTCAGTCTCAATGTGGAATTTTTCAAAGTACATCAAAACCAGCAAGTGTTAGTAACATCACTGGATGGATTTAGAAGAGGGACAATTTCTGCAATAAAACTCAAAACTCAAGGATGACTAATACTTGAAGTTAGGCAGATATGTAAGTATTTTAAAAGCAGAGCCTATGTTAGTATAATAGGATAGTACAGTAGTTGATACAGTATGGATTTTATACAGCCGTTCTGGGTAAAAAAGTACTCTAGATTAAACAAGCAATACTACTTTCTGCCTAATTATTACTTGGAAGTCTCCTATTCCAGTACTGGACTAACCAAATCCTTCTTAGTTTGTGAAAGCTGATAAGATTACAGCATAAAGAATTATGCTGCAGAATTAGGTCAACCTTTAAAACGATGCTGTTGTATGACCATATTCCAACTTTCATTTTCTCAAAATGTGTATCTTCTCTGAATTATTACTCTTCATATTTGAGATACTGCTACTGCACGTTAGTTGTTAATTAAAATCATACCAGTATTCTCAAAAAAAAATTGCAAAATGCTATGCTAGTTGTAACTTTTACTATTGCTTACTCTATTTATATAAAGATCTTAAGATATGTGCCAGTGACATTAATACTGGCTCCCCTTGGAAAATAATGCAGTTTAATAAAAAAATCAGTTTTGTTATAGAAACGCTCATCAAGCGGAAAAAACCCCTTTTTTTACAACAGTGACTGAAAAGATGCAAAATCTCTATTTGTAGTGAGAAATATAACTATTACCCCACAAAGCAGGGTTAGACTTTGGATCTTTACCTGTTCGTGTAGATCGTACATTCCTCAGTATTTAACTTCATGCATTCACTGTATTTATTTACAGCTTCTTCATATTTACCCTTTTTTACAAAATCATTCCCTTCATTTTTTAACATCTTGAACTTCTCCTCAGCTTTCTCACCTGCATTACAAAAGATCAGTGTTACATAAGAAGGTCAGTTCATTAAGGGTAGCTGAATAATCTACCCAGGCTAAGAATAAATGCCTGGCAATCTGCATCAGTCTGCACATTGCCATTTCTGTCCCAGCGCTCCCTGCTGCTCCAAGAAAGGCATAACCTACCACACCGACATTTGGCCCAACAGGCACCAGGGTAACTATTTTACTGAAAATAATGGGAACGCAAGAGACAGCTCTCTGCTTTCAGCTCCTTCTGTCTTCCCCTCTGTGTAGTGAAGAGGGACCACGTATCTCCACTGAGATATCAGTTTTATTTACAATACACAACAATTCTCTCTTGGAGATTTAATCAGCAGAGTTAAAGGTCTTCTACATCTCAACCATCACACCAAGGTGGCCATAATTTGATCTAATATTCTTTCTGCAACCATCTATCACAATTACTATGCTAAACTGACAATGACAAATCAGCCCATCATTAGGGATTAGTGATACATCAGTAATATTCTGTTAATAACTATTTATAAAAGATGCTTTGAGGAACCTGGAAAGACCTAACTACACTTTTTTTTAATTAATATTGTGCCTTCCATAATTGTCTTTCCTTCTAAACTCCACATCATTTGTTGCATATGCTTCTGGGTTGGACTGCAATTTTTAGCTATGTCTGCAGCGGAAAACCAACCTTGACTGCAGTTCCATGTCTCATTTGTGAGCAAACGATAATTAGTAACATAGCTCTAAGTAAATCATAATTGAAAAACGTACTTTTTCTACCTTGCTAAAGAACATGAGCCCCTTGCCAAACGTCAGGTTTTAAACACTGTACATAGCCAGGTAATTTTAACCAATAATTAAACTCAGTGAGTTCTTTTACAAAAACGTGGTAGTCTCCTATGCAGAAAACTACATGTGGACTTGGGGTAAAAAAATCAAGTAATGACATGAAACCAGAAGAGACTTTTGCAAGAAACACAACTAAATTATAACTCAAGTTGCAAGACACCAAAAACAACAGACAATTGTTGCAACCAAGAGTCAGCCAAACAGTAAGGTTTTACTACTGAACGACATTACTGCTGGCAAGCTCCTGGCACCAGCTATCACTGCCAGGTCCCACTGATTTAATACAGGCCTGAGAAGGCAACCACAACCTTAAGAGTCAGCCTTCACTGAAGAAAACGGTTACACAGTCTTATTTAGTGTTCCTAAAACCAAAGCCTAACCAAAGCCCACTCTGAAATAGATAGAGATGTGTTTTGCATCGACAGTGATGACCAGTTCCCTTAACTTTCGTAATAGGCTAAGCATGATCGCTGGTGTTGTCAGGAGCCACCTGTCTGTGTACTTTTCACTCCAATAATCTTCAAATTCTCTCTTAACAAAGTTACACAAGGTTACATAGATCTAAATTTACTACTCAAAAGGTTTAAATAAGTTGGTTATACATTGAAATAAAAACCCAACAAGTTGTATTCTTTAATAACAGAAAAAGACTGGACTACAATCAGTACAACAAAAAGCACTTTTCAAACTAAGCATTTATGTTTAACAGCAACGATTGTGCAAGATACCAGTTTTCTACTTCATTTAAAACCCCCGAAGTTAAACCAATTGCTGCCCAACGCTTAAGAGTAATGAATCAGTAGTGACATGTATTGACAATAATGAAAATACTTGTCACCAGACATTTTAAAGAGTAGAGCAAAATTTTTATCAATTTAATTTACCTTAAATTATACATCAACATGCCTCGTTTCTTAAATGAAAAAAGTTTTCTGTACCAATACTGAAGTTCAGTATGCACTACTATTCAAACCTTACATAAACAACACTATCACAAGTTACTAGAACTATGTCTTATTCTTGAGAAAAATGTCCCATTCTCCTAAACGTCTGTATTTGTAAGCTCTCTGTCATTTTAATCAGGTACAAATAAATTCAATGCTACCTGAAAGATCATTTCGAAGTCATTAAATCTGTAATGCCCAAGAGCGCAGATTATTTCAGGACATGCATTACTGCAGTAACGCATTATGGACAGATAACTCTATCACTGCTATGTATTTGGCCAGCAACCCAGTTATGCATTGCAGCCTCCCCTGTGTTAATCAAGGGGAGATTACCTTCAGCACTCCTTTTCTTTACACTGAAATAAACTCAAAGGGAAACCATTTAATAGTCAAGTAAAAAAAAAACCCAAACAGTTAAGGCCTTTGCAAAAACAACGTTTAATGTCCGTAAGAACCGAATCGGAAAGCTTCCTTCACCTTATTTACTAGAGGACAAAAATGGAAGCTGAAATGAAGGGAAAAAAATCAGGAGGAAGAAAGTGTCCTAAAGGAGTTAAGCGCTCGGTGCTTATGTGTAAACAAGTCCAGAATGAACACCTTTGAAAGATGACTACCAAATGGCCGCTGTCAAAGTTACAACCCATCACAAAAAATAAAAATAAAAATCAGAAGTGTTCTTCTATAGCCCGTTTCACTAACTACTGGCCACCTACAAGTCTACCCTCTCTATTCTGAAGAGCTGTGTAATGCTTTCATGAACAATTACATTACAAGTACAGATTATGCACTTGATCATGTTACTGAGGTTGGGTGTTTGGGTGGTGGATTTTTTGGGGGAAAACTGTTAAAACTGTAGTATGATGTCAGGGAAACTGATACCTGTGATAGGACTCTATATACTGCTGATGAGTATTTCTACTGTGTTTTCTTTTTATACAAATTCAGAAATTACACACTGCAAACTACATCACCTGGCTTAAAAACAATTACTATAACTGCGGCTCCATAAAGCACATTAAACTCAATCATGTAAATGACCAGCATCTAACTTGGCTTTACACAAAGGTCTCTGCTAAGCATTTTCTAAAGCAGTTTCTTTGATATTATTAAATCGTATTCCATTTTTCAATTAAAATTATTCTCTTATTTGTATCTATATTTGCATTAGCAATACATACAATTCATCTGCAACTGTTCTTCTCTGTTGATATGTGTAGCACTTCTTGGCTTGTCCTCTGAAGTAAAGTTTCCTCCATCCCACCTGTGTAGCTGAGCAGCAACCGGGACAACCGGAATTGGCGGCAGTTTCTCCCTCCAACTGGGACCATCCTGTTCTATTAAAGTCTTCGTTATTCTGAAAGAGAAAAGCCCCACCAACATGACTTTTCATCTATTTAACCCACGCTTTAATAACTTACACCCAAATTAAATAATGCAATGTTCCAATTTAAAAAAAAAAAAACCTGAACAATTATCCTTAAGACTAACTTCAAAAAAGATGGTCACAGCAGTCAATGGTATTTGACTTATTTAAGATTCAGACTTTTTTCACTTTGTAGAGTATTTACACTAGCATTTGGAAGACAAGAAGCTGACTTCAGCATGATCTGTAAATATTTAAGCAAATGACTGATTTCACAACTAAGCTGTAAACGCTGCCTACCACATGCAATGAAGAGAAGCAGGAAAAAAAAAAAGTATTTATTTTGTTTACTTTTCTCAGCTGTTCATAGGTGTTATTTGTATCGAGTGTAGATTAGAATATCCTCAGACAAAGTCTGGTACCTAAATTTGCCAGTGTCAGATGAAACCTCTTACACAACAATTCTCTAAATAACCAATGCAGGTCACAAAGTAGGTATGAAGCTGCATTTTATAGAACAGTCGGAAAATCTTCAAACAATCATTCTCTATCCCCATTTAAGAACACACAGAAAATATATAAAAACTGTTTAGTCTTTCTTAAACAAACACATACATATATAGGTCAACTACTTGCATACACGAGAGGGTCAATCCAAAACCCACTCAAGTGGGAGGTTCCCATTGTTGCGATACGTTTCAGAGAAAGACCTATGTAACCATAATAAGTGAAGCCATACAAGACTTCACGGTTCCATTACAATTTTTGCAGCATTTAAAAAAAACCCAAACAAGTATTCATCGATTACGAGAATGAGAGTAATACTGAGACAAACATCTTCTAATCTCAAAACAAGTTTGTTCAACTGGTGAGAAGTCTCTAACAAAGGAAAATCCTTTTGAGTAGCAAAGCCAAGTCACACTGATACTATAGCCAATAAACCTGAAATATGTATATTAGGTGCATTTCCATCTACACAGGTGTAAAAAGAAAAAACCCATACTACGTGAATACACATTAAAAAAATAATTAAGAACCTTGAATGTCACATGAAGAATGAGATAGAATGAGCATAAATTATCCAATCAACTTTTCTTGCTTAGTTTTGTTCTTTTTAAATATTTGAAGTACAGCTATAAAACAAACCAACCAACCAAAAAAAGCCTTGGTATAATACTATGGCAACAGAGTCAGAGCACTCGGGACCAAATTCTTTTCCCATTAGGGTCCGATAGAAAAAAAATACCAGAAGCAGCACCTGTTCTAATCTTCTTTATTGTAAAACAGAAATTACCAAAACACTTTAAAGAACGATGTAGACTAAAAAGCTGTTTGTAGAGCTATATAACGTGTGATTTCATGTATTACATAATGCTGCACAGAACACACAATTTCTTGTATTTTTAAATTGAAAGTAATTTCTTCATACAGAGACCATCACATTTCATAGTATTACCTAGTTGCTTTATTTGTTTTCTAAGTGAACATGAAGAATATTTTTCTGTGTGTTCGCTGCATAAGCCCTTCCAGGGGCTCTCCTCTACCTGTATCATTCCCAAGCAGTATTTTACAGGACATACCAACAAAGCAGCTTGTCCAAGTTCTGTTTTGCTCTGATTTTACTAAAACTTTAGGTTTTCAATAATAGTCTGAATTAAATTGTTAAGAAAATTCTGGCACATCATCATAAATTAAAGAGCCTAAGATTTACTCCGGTTATTTCATTAGAGAACAAAACTGTACACTTCATATTAAGAAGTCAATTCATTACATTTAGGTATTTCCTATAGAAAGTAACAGAACAGTTCTACAGAAAAACACAACTTCCTGTTTAATTTTTCTCTATTTATCATAATGGGCTTAAAAAGTTGAAGAAAAAACCTGACCTAATTCATTAAATCCTGCAGTATTTGATGATCAATCGACTTTTTGTAACATAATGATCTAAGCATAGTCTTTTGCAAAAATGCTTACCTGTGTGCCATGGTTAGTTCAAAAAGCATGGGGATGTCACAAAAAAGGTGGGACAAATAGCCCTCATTCCCCACCACCAACACCCCAACTTGACGCAAAAATCCTGTAGTTTTGCACTTTATCACAAATTTATTTGTACAGTACAATACTCATATGGGACTTAGTAATAAAAGCTCCCGAGCTATCTAATGCAATTTGCTAACCGACACTAAAGGAGCTGAGACAACTGGAATAAAACTTCAATTCAGTAAATGGAAACGCATAAACACACTGCCCCACATTAGATTTTCTCTATTTCTAACAGTGAAAAGCAAATAATAAAACACTCAAGAGGAAGTTAAAATACACAAAGCAGGAAATTCACTGATTTTCACAAAGCTAGGAAAACGCCACTAATTAAAAGTGTGCTTGAAATGCATTTTCCTGTGACTTGGCACACACCATTAAAAGAAACAGTTCTTCCAATTTATCTAAAAATTATCTCAGGATAACTAACAAAAGACATAATTCAACATCATCTAATTCACATGATAAACACTCAAGTAACTGTTTATACTTGTTTTCAGCCGACCTCATAAAAATACATGCTTACATTCTTAATTATTTCATTTTGATCACAAAATGATCAGGTAAAGGCTTTACATTAAAAATTCTACTTGTCTTTTACTTGAGAATTATTAGAAATATCAGACTAAACACCCATTTGGAAAGCCTGTTTAGTTGGGTACAAGAAATATCAAACCCAACCTCAGACACAAGTAGGATGATGAGTTCTTCCTGCCATCCTCCTACGTGATCACCATCCAATTTCACCCAGGAACTTAAAAAACAATGACATCCTCCAGTAAAAGCAGGTAATTTAAATTACATGTTGGGTTGCCCCTTTAAATTAAAAGGCAGAAGAGGAGCTACCATTTTTGGATAAAATACATTTTAAAAATGTATGTTACTTTGGAAACGAAAATTAATACTTTGGCAAACAGTATCAGTTTAATTAATAAATGATAAAATACTTAAAAATAAATTATAGTAGAAGTTCAATTATGCAGGAGGTCTATGCTTTAGAAACTAAGAATTTGCAAGCAAAAACGAATTACCAGCAGAAGAGAAGAAGGAAGAAGCAGCTGAAATAAGGTGATGGGTTGCCAGGGAGGAAAGAGTAATGAGCAGTGAAGCTAAAAACATAAGGAAGGCCTAGAGAGGAGAAAAGGAAGAGTGTTAAGGGGAAAAAAGGGAAATAAGCTTATTACTAAGCAAGTTACAAGTCAAGGAGAAATATGAAAAGAGTACCTGCAGATAAAATAAGCCAAGATTATAAAAAAGTATAATAATTACACAGATACCACGACAAGCAGTTACCTCACCAACCCAAGTGCTCTATCATCAGCATAGGTAGAGGAGTTCAGTAACAATTTGTTGTGTTACCAAAAATAAGATTTCTAAAAGTAGATGATAAAGTCTTGTGATTTCCTTTGGCCACCTCTGGACAATTAAGCAGAATTTAAAGATATTATGGACTTCTTAATAAAGTAATAATTTCAGTGCTTATGGCCTTGCCTTAGAAAGAAAAAAAAAAGGTACTAGATCCCATTGTTAAAAAGTCGCATGCATGTGGGCTCCTGCTGACTGATTAATGGCTGTTCTGCTTTCATAAATACTTTTTTTGCCCATTAAAAGAAAAAAAGGAAAGAAAAGGGAATGGAAAGTCCTACTATTTACGCACTTAAGTACTTACTGTATGCTAATGAGAATACAATTACGAGAATTGTATGGCAGCAAGAATTAATGTTGGACGTACTAACTCTTAAGTTAAAAATAATATTAAATTATATTTTTTACACCTCTAAGCTTTGCAGCCAACCACTGTACCAACTGCAGCATACTGAAGGATTCACACTTAATGTAAATCTCCAACTGCTGGAAACAGAAGTGTCAGAGGACAGGTAGGTATGGACCTTAAAATACTGCTTTACATGGTATCAAATACAAGTTAGGAAATAAAACAAGTTGAAACACCAGTAAAAAAAGCCTTTAAAATATTACATTTTAAACCAGAAAGTGACCTACTGCTGGCAAAGGAAAACTGTGAAGCTATGGGAAAACAACCAAACAAAAGAGCCAGTCCTCTAGTTGAAACGCACTAGTTGTGACAATCCTGCCTCTGAGAGATACCAAACAGAGGGCACATGTAGAACAAACAAAATCGAATTCTACTTTTCTATTTGGACTGATATCAGAAAATCTGTAAGTGGAGTTACCTATTAGCACTATCATTTGCTGCTTGGATGCCGCTGTCTATTTGTAGGGCTGTTTTATAATCAATGTATGCCTGTCGATACCGCTCCATAGACTCATTTGCCATTGCTCGTCGTAGAAGAGGCTTAAGGGAAAACGGCTGAAGCTCCAGAGCTCTGGAGAAAACAAAAGAAAAATGCAGGATTGAAACAGAGTAACTGAAATAATATTAATAAAACTATTTTATGATATACACAACTATAAGTAACAACTCTGTTATTTCAGATGGGCCTTACAGCAACATAACCAAGGAAAACGGGACTGTGGTTTATAGTAATACTCTAAATGACATGCAGTTATGAAATTGTTAGTGCTTGTACTACAACTTACTCTACTCAAATCCCTGTCTTCCATCTGGAAAACTGCTTTCGTCACCAAGAAAAGATTAATGTAATGGCAGCTGTTGACAAGCAAAAGCTAGTTTTCTTAAGTCACGCCTAGATCTATGTGGATTTCAAGCATATGGTGCTTCTGCCTACATTTTGCATGGAAGTATGCATGTAAAAAAAATACGTTTAGTAACACATGAATATACACCTGTCTCTTCTTGGCTTTTAAGTTTTTGCCTGTCTTTTGTCTGTTTACTGTTCTGACTATATACCTGTCAACACTGAGCTCAAATCCAGACACTGTGAAATCAGAACTCCTTCCAAACACCATGTGCTTTTCCAGCAATATGAAGAAGCAGTCCACTAAGGCTTTACTTATTAAAGACTACCTTTTATAAATTAATGATTCTTGCTAAAGAGAGAAACTTTGAAATAGTGAAATTGAGTCTAGCCAGTTAGATTTCATGGAATCATAAAGTAGTTTAGGCTGAGAAGTCCCTAGTCCAACCTTCTCGTACAGGTAGGGTCAGCTGCAAGATCATACAAAGTTGCTCAGAGCTTTATCCAGCTAGGCCTTGTCCAAGAGAATCTCTGCACATCTCTAGTCAACTTGTTGCAATGCCCCCCACTGTCCACAGGGAAAAGGTTTCTTCTAATACACAGTCCAAACCTTCTGTGTTTTTTGCCTGTTATCTCTTGTCCTCCCCCAATGCACTGCCAGAAAGAGCCAGAATCCATCCTCTGGATAATCTCCTCATAGGTACTGGCAGGTTACTTTTAGGACCCCTGGAAGCCATTCTCCCTTAAGCTGAAGAAACCCAGCTCCCTTGGCCTCTCCTCTGTAGGCAAGTGCTCCAGAGTTCACAACCACCTGTGACACTTGACTGAACTCACTTCAGTGGATCACTGGCTTTCTTGTACTGGAGAAGCCAAAAAACAACACAGTTACCATAGATGTTGTCCAACAAGTGCTGAGTACAAGGGGATAATCACTTCCCTCAGTCCACTGGCTGTGCTACTGTTTATAAGCCGAGGAGGCTGTTGGCCTTCTCTGCTGTAAACTGGCTTTGCACCATTACTCCTCCTAAAGCTAGAGAAACAATGATTTATAGAATAAACATTTCCAATTTCCATTTCATAAATGTTTCCAATGATCCATTTCTCTTTATGTTGCTGAATGCATTTCAAAAATACAACCACACACAACATCATAGCCCCTACAAAGCCTCTGCAAACATCCTGTAACTTGGAAGCATATTAACATAATTTCAGGTTCCTAACATCAATAATGAAGAAAAAAACAACCACAAATAAATTCAGGGGAAGAATAGCATCAGTCAGAACAGAAAACTACATTTCCAGGGTAGGATGCAAAGATAATATAGCCAGGGACCAAACCAAACTGCAGCACCAAATAAATGAACATTAGGGCGTAAAAGCCCTATTTCACTCTCTGTAACAAAAATCGAAGGCACTCCAACTCAGAGTCTTGAGACAAAGAGAGATCCAACAGAGGGGTTTTTTTATACAGTTCTAAGCCCTAAATAGCTAAAGCATAATAAAAATAAATGTCCAATACTCATCATGAATATAAGCACCACACAGTTTTTTGAAATCAAGTAACCTATTCCTATATCACCCTTTATGTCGTGTTGCCTAGAGAAGATTTAATTTACATTGCCTAATTCATGCGTGTTTGCAATTTTGCAGTTCTGCTTCCCAGTCTCTAAATTATTTCTACTTCTGTTGTGTTCACTAAGCATCATGGGTCCTTGTGTATCCAGAAAATAGGCACGCCATTAAGGACACTACCATTAAGCAGCAAGAAAATAAGCTTGTCCTTGGTAAGAATACAAAATGCAAAAATGTTTGTTACAGATTTCAGTTGAAGACTTACATACTTCAAACCTCCTGAACAGAAAAATGTGATGGCTGTTAAGTAGGCCATCTTGTTTTATCAGCTAGCTGTCTATGGTCCTGCACCTATTTTAACAAAAAACTGTTAACAAGTCAATTTTTTCAGATGAGATTTACAGAAGACTTTTCTGTCAGGTAGAATATATACAGTAAGCAAAATATTTAGTTAATACAAAGGTTCATACCTATGTTATTTTTAGTTTTGGGGCTTTTTTTAACAGTTGGGTTACCAGTGCTCAAAAGAACCCCAACTGATTACTTAATATGATTTCTAATTGTCTTAGGATCCTTTTTTGCACCTTAAGCCCCAATCTTACTAACCTTGTCTACAAAAATATATATTAAAAAAAGACATCTAAAAAATACAGTAATAATTTCGTGGAGGGCAGTGTTTGGAAGTTATTGAAGGTGTCTGATCTTCTCTAACTCCTGTATCCTTAAAAGCCACAATAAGCAGAAAGGATTTTAGCTTAATTTGTGAACAGCTGTAATTACTGTTTATAATTCTGCCAAGTAAATATTAAAAAAAAAAACCCAAAACAACCGACAAACCAAAACACATATACACTATACACATACTTGAAAGCAACTTCCAACTGTGATAAGCATCTGACTTAACAAATCTTTTACATCTAAGTTACTGCAGAGCATCACTGAAGTAAGCCTGATTTTGTATTAAAAACTTTAATTCTGCTATGGATTTCTGCGTACACAGGAAGCCTAACTGCCCTCACACAGTAAGACTGTAAGTTGAAAGTTACTCCTTCCTTAGGTTCCATGCGATTGTTTATGTAACTGACAAAGATATCTGTCATTTAGACAGGGAATCACTTTATTGAAGATTGTTCTAAGTCAAACTGCAATAACAATATATCAGTTAAAATGTTTAATCATCATCAGGAATGTTGTTGCTCTACATAGGAGGTTGCAATTTACCTGTTACAATCCTGAATGCAGTCACTGCAGTTCCCTTCTTTGAGGTAACACGCTGCTCTGTTTGAGTACAAGATACTTAAATCACCTGGACTTTGTTCTCCTAAAAGAAGTTACAATTAAAATCAAAGACCATTCCTTAAATGAGATTCAAGAATTAAAGACTGCACCTGTAGGTTGCACTGCAGTGATGTTTGCTGACAACGCAAAGCTGTAAGAAGCTTTCGTCTATCGTGTCACCTAGAATATGTAATTATTCAAACACATGAAGAAATGCAAACAGCTCTACCCCAACGAAGCTGAAATATTATTTCACTCATCTTCCTATATTTTGTGTCACGTGAACTGTCCTCTACTGAAATGACCAATAATTTATTGCACGGTAAACTCCTGCCAAAAACGCAGGGATAGGCTGGGTTCGTTCATTTGCAGTTCCTTGAAATAATCTAAACAACAATCCTAGATTTACGTATAAGGTATTACACTCACCTAGACCAATGACATATTCAATTGCTTCCGAGTATTTGAGCACAGCTTCTCCAAACTGTCCACTCTTAAATAACTCGTTTCCATCACTCTTCAGTTTCGCTGCAGTAGGAGGCAGTGAAGTAGAACCACCACCACCCGCCGCCTGAGCCCCTGCTCCATGCCAGCTGGAGTTCTCCTCAGCTTCGGGGCTTTCACTCTTTTGATCACGGTGTAAATAGCCATTAACTTCACCTTCATGGGCTGACAAATGCTTCTGTGGTTTCTTCTCTGATGTGCCTTTTTTCGGTCCGCTCTCAGTGGATTCCTTCTGCTTCTGTGTCTCTCTGTCCTCCGCCCTACTGCCTGCTCCTCTGCTATGAAACTTTCTCTGCGCGTTCCCCATCGCCGCCTCCTCAGCAGCCGCCTGCCTTACTGGCACGCCAGCTTCTACAGGGAAGTTAATGGCCCGAGTTAGAGCTTGCATCATCAGAAGAAACTACTGCCCTGGCAAAAGAGGGGTGTACAGCCGAAGAACGCGGTACCAAATCCTTCTGGCATCCCAACATTAGGAAAATTTATTTGCCTCAGAAAACGCTTCCAAGAACACATACAAATTCCTCCTTACAAATGACCTGCAATAATTACTATGAAAGCTCATTTCTCCTTGCTGGGCACATTGCGAACCCCTGTTCTGTAGCGTCAGAATGGTACAGAGTTCACCTTGAAATTAACTCTTTAAATACTGGCTAGTACAATACTGATACTTTGATTTTCGATGACCAAATCAAAATGCTTCCATGTTAAAATTGGAACACAGAGCTAACAAATCAGTAACGTTGCACACTTCAAAACTCTCCTCACATGTAACATAGAACAGGAGGGAGAAAAGTGTATAAACCATTCTCAAAAAGGTTTCATTTAAACGTGTCAAAAAGCCTTTTATAGATACTTCCAATCATTCAACTTTCTCTCCTATTTATTACTAATTTAATTAGGAAAAATCATACAATAAAGGTATCAGATATTAACACGTATATTCCTTATTCACCTGAATTCCTAACAGATCACCACCACAGTATTCAAATACAGATTTCTGCAGAGAGCCTGACTCTTGATACCACCAGTCACACAAAGCCAACTCTGTGTGTTTTTGGTGCTAGGAAGATGCCAGGTTTCCACCTCCCCTTAATTTGAGGTGTTCATCTGTCCAACAGAATTTTTTCATGCCTTCATGTATTGGAGAGATACTTCCAACTGATTCAGACTTAAATTCTGAAGTTGACTGAATATGGATGGACTCCAGGTTGTTCCAAATTACGGAAAATATTTTTTTAGTGCACAATATGTTACTGAAATCAAACTGAACAGGATTGGAAAGATTTTTAAAAACAATAGATTCACTTGAGCCTAATAGACAAAAGCTCCAACTGCCTCCTTCCTAGCTGTGGTCTCTGTTTTGAAATACCGTGTTTAATAATAAGTTCATACTCCACAGTGGGAACAATGACAGGATTAATCTATTCTACCCACACAGATATTTTAATAAAACTTAAAGTAAATTATTCATTTTTGAGACTTCCTTCCTTCCTTCTTTCCTTCCATCCATCCAACTTGGCAGTGCCAAATATGCCAAAAAGGTTTAAAGTGTATTTGGTAGGGAGGATGAGGGTAAAAGACTAGCTGGGCAGATGAGTGAAGACAGTATAATAATAATAATAATAATAATAGTAGTAGTAGCAACAGCAGCAGCAGCAGTAGTAGTAATAATAATAATATTTCCTTAGGATACATGCTAAAATACTTTCATTTTATATCCACCAAACAGAATATACTCTGTATACCTTCTAGGAAAAATAAGAAAAAAAACATTTTAAATGTCACAGACAAACAGGTGATAGGACAAGTTTTTAGAAAACACAGTGGGACTCTTGAAAAGCATCCTAACTGCCAAAGACAAAGAAAAGCAAGACAGGCAGAAAATGTGTGATGTGAATGTCATTAATGTGAATGTCACATGCACAGAACCGATCCTGGATTAAACAGGAAACATTTATAGCATTGGGAGTCTCCCTGAAAACAGGAATACTATAGTTAACTTGTTTAGCTGTCAGGTCATGCTAATTGCCGAAATACTTCTGGACTGTGTAAACACCATGCACAAAATTGTACAGATATATTTCTCAAATCTAACTCTCTGTCTTTCATTTTCAGTGTTTATAACACAATTCAGTGTTTATAACATAATATTCCTGTATTGGTCTCTACAGAGAAATGTATTCATTAAAGCAGTATTCTGGGCTCTGCCTTAAAAAAAAATCTGTGCTTAGCAACTTTAAAAAAAAAAAAAAAGTCTAGATACATTATAAATTCCAAAGAAAAGTTAAAGAAAGGTACTGAAAAGTATGGACAGGATTTTGACCAGAATGACAACAAATACAAACTAGAAAGAATTTTAATTCTACTAAAATATTAAAAAAACTAATTTAAAATGGAAGGACTGTCATAAAACAAAAGCTACTGAATACTCCAACAGGAATATTTGAAGTTGTTTTTTTTTTCCCAATGGATGACATTGTCTTTCATTTAAAATTAATTTCCAATTAATTAATACATGAAGTATTTATCCTCCAGAAGCACCACACAAAAATAATGGTGGCAGAATGAAAAGCAACAAATTATAGTTCAGTTCACAATTAATTCACCTATTATGAAACCAAGAAACATTTTCAAGTCTCTTATCTGCTCTGGACTAGCTACATATGAAAGCAACTGGAATGGTCCAAATCCCCACAGCTTATTTTTTTATAATTTTAAATATTTTATGGGGTTTTTTGCCACACACAGTCAGCGAATACCTGTTTTGTATTATGTGTTCTTGGTTTAGCTCACTGAGATTGTACCTGGATTGTTCTGAGACAGAACATAAAGCAAACGGTTTCTCAGATAACTGATCTCTGACTGCTTAGGAGCAGTCTTTGTTCAAAAAGAATGAAAAAAGCTTTACTAGTCAACATTTATACTGCTACTGTAATTGAGGGGTTCTCTTAATCAGGATATGCATTACAAGTGCAATTCTAGAGTGAATTTTCACTGTTGTTTATTTTAACATGGATCAAGTTTCCATATTGCAAGCTTGCAATAGAACTTAAAAGCCACAGTAGGTTGGGCCCCATTGTGCTACATGCTATACACATTAATTATCAATGAGAGCTCCTTCTCCAGAGTTTACAATTCTAAAAAATAAAAAATTGCAAATAAACAAGAACACTGAAAACAGAGGCTCAAGGAATACAGAATAACTATTGTATCAGATAACAAGGTGGCCAAACGCCCTCAAACAAGACCTCATCAATAAGGCTTCTAACCATAAGGAGAACAGATACAGCCAACTATTCAAGGCTACTATGGCAAAGAAACATCCTATTACAGTAAAATTCTAGTTACATAGATTACTACAAATTAAGATTTGGACAGGTGCGAATTCGTATATGGCATAAAGGCCAAGTGAGCAAGGATACAGAGCATCCAGTAAGCATTAACCAACAGATAACAGCTCAATTAGCTCAGCTCCTCAGTGGTAGAGGAGAGCAGAAAGGAATTCCAGGAATGCTGAAAATACACCAAGCGCAACTGATTGCTTGAGTAGGAAAGAGCACCAATTTTCTCATACCTAATAAGCTTTGCTTCTCAACAAATCAGAAACTTCTAAGACCTTATTCACTGCTCTCCATGAGAAGTCATTAAACATTAACATATATATTGAAGAATTACCTGTAAAATCAAATAAATGTTTCATTATTCCACATGGAATAATTCAAGAAAAAGTAAAAGTGTAAAGAAAAAGAATGTAGTTTTATCTGAAGATGTCCATTTCATAAAACATGTTTAGAAAACCATCAAGAGAAATTCAAAGAGTGTTATCAACCCCTATTTGTTTTGGAAAGCTGTAAATCAGTCATTATGATGACAGCTCCATTTATGTAAGGGCAGAAAGACCATTACTTCAGAGAAACCACGACACATGGTCAAGATCAGTTGAGAACACAGTACATAATTCATCGAGGATGCAGAGAGAGTTTTCATACCTATTCAGCTCCTAATAACATTCCCAAAAAAGGATGATCTAGTGAAAGAAAACAAAGCCACAAGATAGTGGACGGATAGAAGAAAATGCTCTTCAATCTAAGAATGGTTCCGAATCACGGTACTGTCATGTTCAGTGACAAAGACCTTAACTTGGTGCTATCAAGTAGAAAACAGACTTGGGGAAAAAAAAAATCCCACAATAATTCTCTATAGCAAACTGCTGGGGCGTCAGGTAAATTTAATACCATATAGGCAGCAAAACTAAAAGTCAGATGAAGGATTTAACACAAAGAAAAAAAGAAGTGCTCTGATGCTTCAATACCAAGTGTCAGTGTACCAAATCAACAACCTCAAGGTGCATGAAACAGTAGGACACATACAAAAATAATAATAATAATAATTAAAAAAAAAACAAATGGGGAAAAAGGTCTTGTCCAGAAGAAGAATATTCTCTTCACTTCTAAAGTGCAATAAATAAACCATGCACAAAGAACACACTGTCTAGGCAACATCTTTTCCCACAGTCAACTCACAAAATGTAGCTTTGTCTGTTATGAGGTTTCTTGTACGTGCCTGGAGAACATCTTTTAAAGAGAGCTCTACTGACTACTTTAGCAATAACAGGTTGAGAAATAATAATTTTAAAGCTAACTTAGACGTTAGTTGTTTAAACGCATTCTCCTTTTTACAAATAAATATGTACTAAAGTTCAGAACTGTTTACTACAATTTTTTAAAATTATTGTAATAGATCAAGTAAATACTACACAATTCAGCAAATTTGGTCTATTTAAAATATACTTATTTATCTTTAGACCGTACTTACCACTTAAGGTTATAACTTCTATAAATACGTCAAAATATCTGGCACTTTGTCAAGATTTTTAGTTTTTACAGTGCCTGAATACTAGTTTTTACAGTCTTTAGGACGTAAGCAATTTTGCATTTCTATTGTACAAAAAGGATTTTATTTACTTTTGCTTTCGGTTATATAGAAGCTTAAGAGAGACCACACTTTATTTAGACTGTTTTGTTCAAAGCTGAGAAACCAGCTCTTCAGAGCTAAAGAAAACAAAAAATATTTTGTTGGTTTTCTACCAATCTCTAAATTATAAGGTTATTAGGAATGCAAGAGGCTTACCAACTAGAAATGAAATAAATATGACTACATGACTGGACTACATGGATTACTGGACTGACTGTGACCACATGACTAGGTGCGTAGAGAAGACAGGTAAGATGCTCAGTCTACTTGCTAGGTTCACAGAACATATCAGATTTATTCAATAACTGAACTGACTTCATATTTGTTCCCAGTTGTACTTGAAAACAGAGTACTCTATAAAGATGCTTGCCTCCTAAATCTCAAAAATAGATGAACACATGTGACATTGACATCACTTGACAATCTTCCCTATGTTTAAGAGCCTAACCTTTCATCAACAGAATGGGAGTCTTCCTGTGGAGCTGGAAGGCACTTAGTCATCTGAACGCTCCCAATGGAAAGCAACCTGAAATTAACTAATATTTAAGGCTAGGGACATGATCCATCCTTTCTTCTAGAGTTTTAGCTGAGGAGACTTAGTGGATACCTACTGATTTTGAAAAATGTATTTTCCATAAATAATGCATTATTTGCACACAAATTAAGTCACACATGTACAGTCTTGCAGTTAGTCACACACTAATCCAGGAACAGGAGCTGCACTTCAACTGCTTGTAAACTACACACAGTACAAAAATCACACGTTGTTTACCTCTAATGTATACTTTTGGAGCATACAAATGATCTCTTACATTGAAAACCAAAAAAAGATTCATAGTTTTCAAAACAAACAACAACAAAAAAAATCAAATCACATGCCACTTGATAATTTTTACACCCTTTGATCCAATCAAGGGAGGAAAAATGCAGAAGAAAAATGTGATGGTACCAAGGCAGGAGAGCTGTGCGAGAGAAACAGGTAAGGAACACAACTTACTCTCTAACAACAGAAGAAATTCCCAACTGGGTCCACATCAAAGGGCATGTATAAAATTACACAGGACACAGGGAAGTAGGTGATTTATAGCAACGTTTTCCTTCTGCTTCTAGAAATAATTCCAAAGACGTGTAATAAAACTGTATTCTAGATTTCACACTCAGATCTACTTTAAGTAGTGAATGTAATTTTAGTCTTCAAACAGGCAAAATTCTTTGCAAGCAAATGTGGATGAATTGTGTGAATGAAATCTGCAATATCAAAGGCAATGATTTTTTCCTCAGGTTAAAATTAAATCAAAATGACATGACATTACTTTTATCTCCACTGCTTCTTTCACATTCTTCTGTATTTTCCCCTCTTTCTTCATCACCTTCTGAATCCTCTATATCTTGAATAAGTATTCTTTTTCCTTTGCCTTGAGTCTGAGATACAGGCTTTAAACCTTTCAGTTTCTTTTCAATCTCTAGCAGATTTTTCTGCAATAAAGAAAAAAAAGCAACAGCAGAAGCCTTTTCTTATAGGTATATAAATTGCAATTTATATACAAAAAATACATTCTGTTAAATAATCCACTAAGATCCTGAAGAATTATCAGGATAAATGTTACCAGTATAAAAACAGAGAAAATAAAAGTGACTGTTCCAAGAGTCAGTATCAAAACCAAGATTAACACTCAATTTCTGTCTCTTAGAATCTCAGAAGATATCACACAAATAAAGAAGTACTTTTGTTGAATGAACTGCTGAAGCAAAAAAAAATTTAAATTAAAAGGAAAAAAAGTAGATTGTACTACTGTGATACCTGGCTTGGTCTACTCCAGAGAGACATGTGGGAAACAGGCTCTTTCCAGAATCTCAAAAAAAAAGCCTAAAATCAGTTTATCAAAATTTATGCTATGGAGAATTTGGCGTTTGATGGATATCTGATGGAGGAGTGTAACTGATAGAACTAGAACCAAGAGACACCAATTTCTTTGCAGTGTAGCAAAAGGACACTGCTGAATAATGAAAAGGATTGCTCCTCTCCTAAGAACTGCAAATTAGATGATCAAACAGCGCCTCATTCCATAAATATTTTTTGATTACTCAAAAAAATACTCCAACTGCACTTTACACTTTCAGAGCAGAGTAAGACACACCCAACATTATGCACTATTCTGAATTTAATGCTGTACAAGGAAGTGCCATTTTGGTACTCACTTACTCAAGAAAAAAGTAAAACAAGGACAGGAACAAGCAAAGATTCATATGGACAAAGCACCTGGAAGAATTCCAGTTACTGACAACCAATTTACCTTTATACTAGTGACTCTGCACATCAAACATTCACTCTTTCACTCTGCATGTCTTCCATACATTCATATTTTGCTCAAGAGGGTTCTGAGGCTCTTCCAAGCAAAAAGCAACTCAAAACAATGCCCTGCCAAGCACCTGTCACTTCTAGATGTCTCAGTCAAGGCATAATAGCTGGCACAGATAAGGACAAAGGTCAGACATCTCCTTTCAGCTAGAGAAGCACTGCTCAGCAAAGCTACTAATGCATTTAGAGCTCTGGAAGAGTGTACTCAAAATGAGCAAGTATCTTATGTCTGGGTCTCAGCAAAGCCTATTCGATAAATGTTTTTGCAAAGACAGTTTGTGGTGGAGTTTGTCAACAGACTCACAAGCTATTTAGTCGTTCAGTCTTGTAAACAGAAAAAATCCCCAAGAGCTGTTTTAGAACTCCAAACTAGAGACAAGTATTCAAAAAGAAACCGGGGGTGGGGGGGTGGAGCGGGGAACAAAACAAAAAAAAAAACCAGCAGGTTGATTCCTTGGTTGATGAGAAACTTGGGAATTATTCTGGACAGGAATCTAGTTTCACCAACACCGTAAAAGGGATGAATGTTTTATGTGGTGATTTTGACATAACAGGCTTGTTGGACCTCTCTCACTGGTGCAAGCAATAGCAGTGATCAAGTAAGTCCAGGAAAGAAGCAGCAACCAGCAAGCTGCTAGCAGCTCAAAATGTGCCAACAACAGCTGAATTCAAGTGATGAGGCAATTGCACAGCATCCAGAAGTCATATGTAAAAAAACTGGGAGGGTAGCAGTATGATGGACTCCTAATTAACAAACAAAGAGCAGTTTAGTATCAGAACTGCCTAGCGCTGAAGGTTCTCGACATGTAGAGTCTAAATGCAAGGACTGGGTGCTAACCCACAAAACACCCCTAAGAAGATACCCATGAAACAATACAAACCAATACTCTCATAAATAGCTGAAGTAAGTGTAGTACAAGGACCACATCCTGACCTTGAGTTTCCAAAGAAAGCATCTGGCTTTCTTAGATCCAAAATTGGCTAAGAAGGGTCCAGATTCATCAGAAGGTATGAAAGGTTTTTCATTCTAGCCTGGAGGTGTGAAATGAGGATTTGTAACATGCTGAAGTGAGGGCACAACCCAGGCCCTCTCCTTTTGGGCTAACTTTACCACTACAACAATACAAGCTTGGCATGTCTTTTCAATTTTTCTTATGAATTATGTGACAAACTTAAATACATCTATCCCAATGGATCTTTTTGACAGAGATTTCCAAATAACTTTGATCAGCTAATACTGTAAGCATGTTCAGCAGCAAAATTTTAGGCACCTAAATTACCTCAATAGAGGAGACTCTATTGTGTGTGCCTACAGGTTCTCACAATTAACTAGTGAACAGAAGATCTGGACACATTCAAGTATCTAATTTCCACCACAGGCACCTACATGGTCTTGGGAAACTGATCACTGGCACAGTAGATCGAGTGTGTCCTCAAAACTCATACTCGAATCAAACAATATAAACTGTACTCCCTTTATGCTACAACTGTGTACAACCTCATCCTAGTGATATTCAACTAATTCATGTTTACCTTAGCTATAGCATTTTCTGGTTCAACACTCAATACTTTGTTCAGATCCTCTACAGCTCTCTGGTAATTCTGCAGCTGACTGTGTACAGTGGCACGGCGCATTAGAGCTACAAAGGAACAAAGTGTATTATTTATCTATTTAAATCATAAAGCAGATAAAAATACACTATTTTTCTAGATATATTGTGTAAACCAGTTTTTAAAATTATGCATTTACTTCATAATGACTCTGTATTAATAATAACTGTTCTCTTGATCATTTTTAACAATGCAATTTCACGACACCTTTTGAGACAGCAATCATGAATCGTGAAGCATCTTTTCCTATTTTTCCAATTTTTCCCTTCCTCCCATGCAAATATAGTTAGCTACATTCAATCTCTTTGTTTTCACATCGTTTTTGAGGTAATTAATACGTCAGTGTGAGTATGATAGAAACAATGCACTGCACGAATACAAAAGAGATTATAGTCATCATATGAAAAACAAGAGCTAGGCTATTGCCTAAGAATACCCATTACAGATCAACATGATGAACTGCATAAAACTTCCCTGACCCTGAAAATACTGTTAAAATTACTTTGGGAGCTACTCTGTTTCCTTATTCGAACTTGGAACTCATCTAAAGCTCGGTTAAGTCAACAACATGAATGGATATGTACCATTTTATTTGCTAGAAATAAAATAATACATAGAAGGGCAACTTTATGTTCTACTTTACCTTTTACATTGCCAGGTTCCATATCTAGTACCTTCTCACAATCCTGCAAAGCACTGTCCCAGTCCTGAAGTTTGATTTCTGCTTGAGCTTTGTTATTATATGCAGCTGCAGTGGGTATTACTGATATACTCCTGAAAAAAGGGAATATTGACCACAGTAGGCTCATAGTTAGAAAACCTGAATGTAGAAACACTTCACTATTGGAAGCTGAAAGCAGTATTACAACAATATTAATACTATTAATCAATTATGAATTCACTCTAAAATATATATTTTATTTAAATATTTCCAAATGTTAGAAAATAGGATTTTTCAGATGGTATTAGAAAAGTGCCCAGTTAGAACAGCATCACGGATTTCAGGTGTACAATGCCCTGTGGGTGTCGAATATGGAAAGACTCATCATTAGGAAGAATTCTGCCCATGCTTACTATTTAATACCTTATTTATACCCAAAAGCAGATTTTTACTTAGTTTTATATTATGGATTTGTATTTTATTTATTGTATATGAAATACAACAATGGATGGTTTTATATTCATGTTCATGTATTAAAAAGATCAAGAAAGATGCAAGTCAAGAACAAAAAATTATACATCAAATACCTCAGTTTAAACAGCCTGTGCACTACGAGTATCAATACCTTTGTGCACATATATACATCAACAATCTCCAGGTACACTTTCATAAGCTGTTCTACAAAACCCTGCTGCCTTCAGTGACAGCATGAGTGGTGCTTCCTAAACATAAATCTGTTCAATATTTATTTAGTTGCTGTTGCACACAATTTATTCCTATTCATTATTTTCTCCATACTTGTCTGTACAGATGTATCAACTTGCTTAACAATTTTTTTTAAGGATATCCCACTATAATATCATAGCCTGTGGATTATCTTAACGCCTCATCTCACAGTAGTGCCACATCATTACACTCAGTTTACACTGGTAATTAATCCCCCAAGATTCCCATATGCTCACAATTTCTAAAGTGACAACTTTGACAATTCTAGGATTTGTGGTTTTTTTAAAGTCCTTATCATTTCAAATCACAGAGTTAAACATAAAATTGAGTTTCCTTTAACATTAGTTTAATGTATGAGCAGTCAGCACTTTTGCAAGTCAGACCTCTAGTGTCTCAAGACAGGTAATCTGCAAATGAGAAACAAATGCTGGTCTCATGTGAAAATCCTGGTTTGTAGAAATGGCATCATATTTGAACACTGTGAAAAGGGTAGAGAAAAAATCTTGTTCTCCCAAGGTAGCATTCAAATACCTTAACTGAACACTATCCTTCTCTTCCTGTTGTGCTCAATTCCATTCACCTTGAACTCTTCTACTTTTGAAACAAAAACAACAGAGGTTCTGTAGCAACACCCTCTATTTATATAAATAAAGCTGAAGTCTGAATCTAGTCCACTGAGCACTAAATAAGGGAAGCAACCTATAAGAGTCTCCATTTTTTGAATCCTGTGTTTATATATTTATTTTCTGGACCAATACTAATTGCAGACAGTTATGATGAAGCTGTACACAGTGATTTTTCTTTGTCCTAAGAAGAGGTCATTAAATCAATTTTACTTATTAACAATTGAGACAATCCTACCAATATGATTCATTAGAATTAATTTGTAATTAATTTAGTTTCTCAACACACTGCTTATAGTCTTATTTTTGTAAACTTGCACTTAAATCTCAATGGTTTTGAAAAATCTGAAGTCTGTGACACCTGCAGATTGCATCCCTTCACTATTTATCCACTTCTCTTCCTGATAAACAAAAATTAATATCAGGATGCAACAGTGCTTGAAGTACTCTTCTGTCAAATCTTTCCGCCCTTTTGAAAATAATCTAGTTGTCACTAGTTGCTTCAGCAAGAAGTTGCTGTAATTACATTGGTCTAAAAATAATATTCACAAGTTAACAGTCATTAAAATAAAAGAACACAATAGTATTTACTCACCGAGTATAGTATGTCACTGCTTCCATATAATCGCCAATGGCAAAGGCTTCATTGCCCTTCTCTTTTTCACGAGCAGCAATAAAAATCTTCTCTTTCTTTGTCATACCTAGAAAAAAATATTTATACATAACAACAAGTAACAACTTGAACAGATGCAATCAAAACACTGTCAGCTAAAATACTTTGTGTGTATATTATCTTTTTAAAAAGAACATGGCTTAGTAAAAGACAAACGTGCATTTTATTTTCTGTAATAAAAACCTAAATTATTCTGATAGGTATACAATTCAGAGTGCAAGATGAAAGCAGTTGGCTAACCTCTACCATTGGTTTTTAACAGTAGATGTATGCTTTACTTCTTTACTTAGTGCTCTCAACCTAAATACAACATGAATATTTTGATTATTAACACCAAGACAAGATTTTTTCAAAATATGGTTTCGAGCTCAGTTGACCTCCTAACAACTTTTAGCATCTCTACGGATTGAAAAATACATAGACACTTTTAACTCTATAGTATGCTTCTTCAATTTGTATTCATACTCGACAATGCAGTATTACAATTAAAGAAAAATTCTATGTTTCTAAGACATTACCAGTTGTGTCTATTTTCTTTTCGATCATAGGTAGACTTGGCCTACTAAAGAATCTTGCTTTTGAGTTACTTTCTTCACAGCCTTCATCAACTTTAGAACACTCCTTTTCCACATCAAACCTTAAATTAAGAAAAATAACAATTTCAATAATGCTGCATAGCCAGACTCCTCTACTAATAGAAAGGCGTACTGTATTTCCATTATAAACCAAAGGAAAAGAGGGATAAAGGCCATGTTCAGTTATCCATGACTAGTTAGGAAAAAGATGTTTAGTCTTAACCTCCTTTCCCTATGGGGTGGGGTTTTTTGTGTGTGCTTCTCCTGCTTACACATTACCTCCCTACTTCCTTCTCCTTTCTGGTTAAAACCAAACAAGCTAAACCAAGAAAAATGTCTGCCTCACCTCCTTGCTATCTCCCCCAAAGACAGGTAAAATTTAAGAAACAGTATCATCAGGCTAAACCCAGCCCTATCAAACATCTCTATTAACCTTTGCCAAAGGACCTAAGAAACAGCTTCAAAGCAAATAATACGGTAAATGTGAGAGAGATTTCAAAATAATCTTAGACACTTCCAAGGCTACTCTGAAGCAGCTTTTGAAAACAGTGTTTAGCAATTTATATCAAGTAAATATTCCTGCCATAGCCCTATAAAACAAATACAGTAATAACCAATTCCTGCACTATCTAGAAACACTACACTCACTGCTTTTCTGTGTAGGACATAATGAAAAATAGCCTTTGCTTTCCACAATAATCTTGACAATATGAATAATTTCTATCTGAAACAGAGACACAATTTTAAAAATTTATCCCATTCAAAATCTTTTCAGGTAAGACTGACTAATTGATTCTGATCTTTTGCGAGCTTACTTTTACCTTTTTATTATAAATTAACCACACTTCAAAGTAAGTGTTTTTAAAACCTGAAGTGAAACACTTTGTTCAGAAATTTCAAAAACTTCAAATAATTGTTGAGGCAATTATCCTCAAAATGTTCTGAAAACACGATATGCTTCGAACTGGAAAATTCCTTTCAAACAACTTCCATTTCGGTATACTTGTATAATCAAAAAAAACTACATTATATGGGAAAATTCACAATAATAGCTGTAGTGTTATCAGCATGGTAAAGCATTTAAAGATTGAGTATATAAAACTTAAAACAAAATCCCAAAATTATTAGGACACACTGGAAAGATGGATGAAAGAATAGATTGTTGCAGAAGTTATTTTGATCACCTATTTTATTTGTGCACATTTGAGCAGGAAGGGCCCAATTTCTGAAACATACATGCATGAAAACAACTGATATGAGCAACTGTTTGTGAGAACAGCAGTTAACTGATACACGCAACAGTTTGTGAGAACTGTTTGTGAGACAGGGTTTTTGTAGGGGTTTGGGGATAGAAGGAAACATTAAGAGTTTCACTACCCAGACCCACAGTCTCTAGATTTAGCTCCCCATCCACTGCACTGGAAACATGTGCCTCCTCACTCTGATTCTACAGCACCATATTCCAGATTTCAGTAGCTAGAGAGAAGCTGCTACCATGCAAAACCAGAGAAGTATGTGCCTTTCCCGCTTCGTGTTCAACAATTTGGGGGCATCAATCTGTCACATACCTTGGGAGGGTAATATGCCACCATTACATGATGCAGAAAGTGTCTTTGTATCAGGGCTCCAGCCACTCTAGAAATAGTCAGTTACTGTCTAACCCTCTGATTATGTGTAATTGCATAGTGAGCAAAGTGATGCACCTGCCTCAAGCTCATTCTTTGAAGTCAGTGGGGCTCAGTGCAGGAATAAGGATTCATCAGTTTTGTTTTTCATTTAGAATTGTGGCTTTAGATACATAGATCAAATTCAGAAGCCCATGTTAAATAACTCTAGAAGCGCTTTCAAAAAAAACGATAAATTAAGCTAATTGTAATTCCTTGCTTTTACATATCTCCATAGATTTTGTATCTTAGATGTTGAAAGGAAAAATGAAATCTGAAACAAAATCACTTCTTATTTATATTTTCTGCTAACTTGCTATATTTCACACAGCTTGTACAAAATATAGGCTAAGTTGTTCTCAGTTGTTAGCACCACAAAGCATCATTTGCATTTTAATAGAACATTTATCATGACAAACCTAAGTGTTACAAATCCCTGAAATGTTGACCTTAATATTATGTTTCTGGAAAATACTTTAAAAAACATCAACCGTGTTCCATTATTAAACAAATAAATAAGATTTAATAAAAACTTAAATATAAAGGATTTAACATACTTGTCCCATTCACTGTAATCCCGTGGTATGTTTTTCTTGTTTCTTTGTTTGTTTTTTATTTTTTTGTTCTGAAAGAGAAACAGCCAGCCTGTAAGACAATTTTTTAAAGTGGAAATTCACAGCTTTTTGTTTTGTTTTGTTTCTGCAAAACATACTCCTAGTAACTAACACTATCCAAGACTATTCTCAGCATAGTCTTGAAAACAGTTCCTCTTGCTTTAAAGAAAATCTTCCATCATTGAGGTTTGCCTTACCAAAAATTTATCCTTAGGACCTTCCTGCACCAATCAGTCCCAGGAACAGATTCGACTGACTTGCATCCCAACCCACCTCCTGCACTGATGGAACCTACTTCCATAGCTGGCATCTTTGGCATCTCTTCTACCTCTATCATGAGACTGTATTTCTGACATGTCCCTCCCTGCTTGTTGACTTCAACAATACTTAATAGCAAGGTGTGGTTGCAAACAGGTATTATACAGTGGAACAGCCAGTTCAAAATATTCCCATCCACTCTGTCCTGACCGTTCAGCCCTCCTCTTACCTTGCAATCCATCATTCACCAAGCTAGACCAACGTAATCGTTTGTAGAGTTGCAGATTTACAATTATCTGGGTCAAACAATTTGATAGAGATTACAGTACAGTCCCTAAATATCTGTACCAGATCCACCGAGCATGTGATAAACTGGACCGAAGAAACAAACAGCAACCTCTTAAACTAGCTTTACCAGTGGTGACACTGTGACAAGGAAATACACCTGCAGTTGGATGTAAACACCTCAGTTTACATAATGCAAATGTGACCCTGCCTGTAAACACTTCTGACTATCTATAATGTTAGGCTACACAAACTTTTGCAGTATATAACTTCAGGACTACTCTTGATGTTCGCAGTCTTTCAAGAACCTAGACAAAATGACGAAGACTTTTACTGATCAGTGTGTGTTTGGAGGAGGGTACTCCTAAATACAGCTTCCTGAAACATAAGTTACCATTATGTATGCATCCTGGTGTATATTACGAACTTAGTCATTTAATAATCTTTTTCTCAAACCAGAAGTCCTTAACTTAAATGAGCTCAAAAATGGTGAAACTCTCAGAAGAAAACTCATAGAGTATTTACACTAATACAACTTTATTTTAGGGAGAGAACTACAGCATGTCCTTTTAAGGAATAAAGCAGAAGTGTTGACCTAAAAATGCACAACTTTTAAAATTCTAGGTTTCATATTCTTGGGACCATTGTAACTAAGTTGCGGCTCCAGCAGAGTCAGGAATTTCTCAATCAGTAGTATTTCAGAGCATCTAATCCAAGAGGCTTTGATGACAAATGTACATTTGCATGCTGTGGAACTACAAAAAACTCTCTGCCCTTGTAATTTTTCTTGCCAGAACTCACAATGCAGATCACTGCAGGGTTTGAAGGCCAGTGAGCAATTTCTGGACCAAAGACTAAAGCACGGACTGGCTTCAGTTCAGGTGACACAGAATTTGGCCTTGGTTCTCCTCTGGGCCCTGTGTGATGGCCTAAGACATTACTATTCTGTGTCAGCTAACCAGTATTCTTTTTTAGTTCAAAGTCTCCAAAATAATATGAACGCTATATAGATAACGTCACAGTGGATTTTTATAGCATAAAACTTGGAATGTGTATTGCATGCCCTGGACTGTAGCATGAGGAGGTATCTGAAGACAGAAATCTTTCCGGAATAGTATTAGGAAACTGTATTTGGCAAAGGAACCTAAGTCTGCTGAAATCCCATCAATATAGTCTTTTGAAAGTGAGTCTCTTTAAACCCATGCTTTAGTTCTGTCCTGGAAAAAGTGAGGCAGCAAAAATAATAATTAAGCAATGTGGACACTGAGGAACTGAAAAACTCAAGCTGTCTCTCCCGTCCTCTTTCATTTTGTGGTATAGACATAACCTCGCAGTCCTGGGCAGCGTGGAAAACACAGTGTGAAAGAAAAACAGGGATGTAAGACAGAAAGTTCCATATTGTGTTAAAGAGGGAAATAATGCATAAAGTTCACTCTTTTCTATTCATTTTTGGAAAATCTTCACCATGACTTCACATCAATAAAAAGCAAACACCATATAGAGCTATAAGCTATCAGTAGTGAATTGAAACTGTACCTACGTTTAGTATCAGCACGAAAATCTGGTTACAGACACAAGATGCTTCCATTTACCAAACTTGTACCCATTCGTGCAATTCACTGTTTTAGGGTCAATAAGGATTTCCAGAATTGGCTTCATTGAAGATACAGAACATTTTATGCATCAGATCAGATAAACAGTCTCCAATCAAATAACAACATAAAATTATGGAAGAATTTGCGGTTTTCTTTCTCGTAGAGAGGAAAATTAATCATGCCAACTTTATACTTGATACCACATTACATAATTATGTGATGCCAGCATAAAAAATAATTACATCAGTAACTGATAAACAAAACACATTTAAAAATAAATTTTTAAAAAATTATAAGATTACAGATAGCTTGATCAGCAAGAAAAAAAACCTGATTAAATATTTTAATCAATTGGGGGGGGGAGATTTTATATTACAGGTATAAATGTAGTGTATACTCCAGAAACAGCTTCTTTTTTATTCAGTAGTAATCTGGTAGTGGTATAACTGCACTGCTACATAAAAAGACTGAATTCTAATACTCAATTTCAGGCCTCCCTTCTCTCTTCCAAGACAGGTTACAATTACATCAGAGGCCATCTGCTTGGACAAAAGGAATGGAAATTATATACCACTGATAAGGTATAAAGCTGTATTTAGGTTTCCTGCGTAATAACGCTAAAACCTCAACCTTGTATGGAGAACAAAAGCGCTAAGAAGTTGACCTGAAGACTGTTGCATGGTTTAAAGTAGGAGAAAAAAATCTGAATAATATTTTGTCTTTGAATGAAGAACACGTCCTCTTTAGTAAAACTCTATATCCTGGATTTCAAGCCACTTTCCACCATTTCATGCAAATATTCTAATCTGAATTCACTGAGTTCATGTATTTTATTTATCATCTTCTGTTCTAGGAAACACTTATACAGGACACAGATCAAGAGTAAAGCTACAGTGGCACTCTTCATCTCAGTGAAACAGGATAGTCAAGAGGAACATACATTGCAAAACGTCTAAGAGGACAGATAAATAAAAAACCCCCAACCTCACAACCAAAACAAAAGCACACCTTAGTCTCAACACTAACCACTTATAAAGCATTACACTGGAATTCCAGCCTCTTTATATACCATGTTACACAAAGTGCCTAGTTATCCCAAATGTCTTGGTCTGATGTCTAAGTACCAGCTGACAATAAGCAGTAGTTTGTGACAATACAGGAACACAAATCAGGCATTTACTAATAATTATTCAAACAAAATTTGTCAAATTAACAACTAGTAAGAAATACCATATGAACCGTAAGGATCCTTTCATAATATTTCTCATTTCCAAACTTCCAAAAATAAAAATCCTTCAGTGAATTTGTCATAACAGCATCCCAGAATTCCACAGAAAATAGTGGGAATCAGGTGTAAGCCACGAATGATAACATCTGACAATTCAGAAAAATCCCATCCCACACCTACTTTTCTGCCAACACCTCCAATAGCCCTGCATTTAGTATTAGTAAGAAAAGCTGGTCACAGACAAAACAGATTTCAGGCAGATAAATAAATGGAAAAAACCATGAGGAAACTAATACCTAGGAAAAAATGTAAATGTTTATTCTGTAGTTCTGAAGATATCTTAAGTATGCTTTATGGCTAACGCTGGAATACTAACTCAAGGTATAAAATAAGGGGAATCAAAGGCTGCATATGCACCAGTGCAACCCAATACAGACGTGTCTGTAAAGCGAAACAGTTGGTGCAGAGCGTCCAACATCCACACTGTATGTGTTTCGGGGTGTCTGTCTAGGACCAGCTCCTGTCTGGTCTCATGGAACAAAAGCCTACTGGCAGATGGAGAAAATCTGCTGGCATAATTTCATCCAAAAGGAACCTAGTTCATATGCTTAAACACCACTTTGAAATGTGAATTTGCTCCAGAAGCTAATTTGTGATCAGAATTAAAACATTATTACAAGACACCTGCTAGTACTGAGGTGGCACTTTTGTTTAAGCATTGGTCTCTTGCAAGGGAACTTAGAGGTTTTTGTTTTCCAGTTAACAAAAGAAATCTAGTAAGAAAGGCTTAATGAGTAAAGTTTGTACATAGAAAATTTCCTGATTTTAGAAAGACATATAATTAACAT